AGCTCACACAAACATCTGCAGGCTGAACTGAGATTCAAACCCAGTCCGTCTAACTCTAAGCCCAGCGCTGTCTTCCAGAGGCATGGAACCCTTCCCTCATACCTGTATCTCTCATGTCCATATCAATATCATACCTATTTACTGTGTATTTATCATCATTCTACCTACCCTTGGCACACTAGGTGGCACCGTGGATGGAGAGCCAGGCCTGGAGTCACAGACCTGAGTTTAAATCTGACCTTAGACACTTACTAGCTGTGTGACCCTGGGCAAGTCACTTAACCCTGTTTACCTCGGTTTCCTCATCCATAAAATGAGCCAGAGAAGGAAAAGGCAAACCACTCCAGGATCTTTGCCAAGAAAACCCCAAATGGGGTCCAAAGAATTGGACATGAAACAACTGAACCAAAACCTACCCTCCACCCTTGAGCTGGTACAAGTCTCCCCATGTCATTCCACAAATCGAGAAATTCAGGAAGCATGTAGTAAGTACCTGCTGTATGCATGTTCTCCTAGAATAAGAGAAAGGGGTCAAAGACAGCTGGCTGCCTAGACGCATCCCACACTGATGGAAAGCCATGCTTCCAGTGACCTCAGTGTGGGTTTGGCCAAGCCCTGACTGCCATGATGGTCTTCATGGAAGCCCCAGCTAATGGCCTGGTCCTCAGGGAACTTCCCTGCTTGGGGAGAGGTTGTTCAAGCTAAGCCCGGGGTCTATGGACTGACCATCCTGGTCCTCGGATCAGATTCCGGCCCAGGCCCCCTTGCTCCTCTAGGCCTGGAGGCAAAGGCTCCCTGTTCCCCACATGCTCACTAATCCAGCCTCACTGGCCCACTTCACCATCCTTCGCATGGGGCAGGCACTTCATGTTCTTCCTTCTGACTCCCTGGGGTCCTCCAAGAGGCCTTTGGGGTCCCCTCTGATCGCCCCTGCCCTCACTGCTAGGGCCTGCCTCTGCCCTGGATACCTCTTGTATGTCCACAGCTGTCTGCATGTTGTCCCTGCAGTGAGCTCCCGGAAGCCAGAGACCAGGTTTGTTTGGGATTTATTTTTGCTCTTTCTATCCCAGTACTTAACACAGTGCCTGGCACATAGTAAGCCCTTAACATATGGTTGTTGAGGGAATGAATGAATGAATGAGTGAATGAGTGAATGAATGAATAAATGAATGAATGAATGGTGCAGGGAAGGTTGTGCCATCCCAGGGGCTGGGGCTGGGTGCAGTGGGATATATTTACACTAAAGAGTCTGAGCATATACATTATACTGGTATTGAGGTAGCTAGGCGGTCTGATACATAGAGTATTGGACTTAGAGGGGGTTGGGACAGGGAGGGAAGGGGGATAGGCATGTATTAAATGCCTAGTATGTGCTAAGCACTTTGTAAATATTATCTCACTGATCCTCACAACAAACCTATTTTTATTCCCATTTTACAGAGGAAACTGAGGCAGATGAAAATTAAGTGACTTGCTCAGGGTCATGAAGCTAAAAAGTGTCTGAGTCTGGCTTGGAACTCAGGGCTTCCTTGCTCCAAGTGGGTGAGTCCCCACCGTGGAATCTTGGGGTGCAGGAGAGACAGGGCTGAGTTTAGAGTCAGAGGGTCTGTGTTCAAAGCCTGGCTCTATGAGGCCTCTGGCAAGACCCTGCCCATCTCTGGGCATCAGATTAGACCTCTCTGAGGGTAGAGGGGCTGGGCTGCAAGACAGCTAAGGTCCCTTGCAGTTCTGAACGTAATACACCATCCGCCTTGCTCTCTCCAGATGCTGAGGTCCTGGACTGCCCGTCTTGGGCCATTTTCACCCAGATAGTTGCACCTCCATGATGTGTGCTCATACATTGTTTTGCATAGAGCAGGGATCCGTGGTGATGGCCCAATGACACGCCTTCCCTCCAGTCTCCAGTGTCCAGCAGCCCAGACTGAGGGGTGGCTGAGATGAGGGTTTAGTCTTTGACCAGGGTCCAGTCTGTGGCCAGGGTGAGGGCTCCCAGGGTCAGGGTTCAGTCTCTGACCCTTCCCACTTAAATCTCTGGGTGAGCTGTACGTTGTAAGAAGCTACTTGCTGGCTGGATAATCTGGGCAAATCACTTAACTGCTGTCAGCCTCAGTCCCTTCATTTGTAAAATGGGATGATAATAATAGCACCTGTCTCTCAAATGAGATAACATAGCTATGTCGAACAGACCCAGTTTGGAGAGGGGGGTCAGCCCTCGCCCAAAACGAGGCCAGAAGTTCCATCCAGTCCTGCTGCCCCTCCAGAGAGGACCAGAGGAAGAGGGACTCTTGTTCTCTGTGTTCCTAGAGGAGACAGAAGGGGTCAGAAAGGAATAGAATGACAGTGGGGGAGAGAGTGGAACAGAGGGGACCCCTGAGACCTGGAAGCAGCCCTAGAGTTCCCCTGGGCCAGAGGTACCCGACACTCGGCCACAGGATGGGCCCAGACCAGATCAAAATGTAATTGGGAAATATTTCGCAAAATATATCAAAATACAACATCACATGGATCATATTCTGTTTTAAAAGGAAGTCATCGTGCGGGGTAGCTAGAAGGCACAACGGATAGAGCACTGGCCCTGGATTCAGGAGGACCTGAGTTCAAATGTGACCTCAGACACTTGACACTTACTAGCTGTGTGGCCCTGGGCAAGTCACCTAACCCCATTGCCTCACAGAAAAAGGAAGTCAATGCGTTTGGTGATCCCTTCTTCTGTTGGCAGTTGACCCAACTACTCTAGGTCAACCCCATCATGTAACTTGAGACCCTCAGGGGAAGGGCCTTACCCAAGGTCACCCAGACAATCCATGGCAAAACCCGGATTCAAACCCGGGGCCTCTAACTCCAGATCTCATGCCCTTTGGTGGAGGAAGAAGGGGGAAGGTAGAAAAGGAGATGAGGAGGAGGAAGAAGAAAGAAGAGGCATTGCAGGAAATGGAAATGATGTTGTATAGGGAAAGAAAGATGGTGGCTGGGTAGTGAGGTAGACAGAGCACCAGGCCTAGAGACAGGAAAACCTGAGTTCAAATCCTGCCTCAGATCCTAGCTGTGAGACCCTGGGCAAGTCACTTAGCCTCTGCCTCAATTTCTTCAACTGTAAAATGGGTATGATAATAATAGTACCTACCTCTTAGGACTGTTGTAAAGATCAAATGATATGGCTTGTAAAGGGCCTGGCCAACCTAAAGCGCTCTTTAAACACTAGCCATAGTGACAGGGGTGTCGAGTGCAGGTCAAATGCTGGCATGCCGGGCCTTGGGGTAGGGGGGTATCTCCTCATGTGTCTGTGTGAGCAAAGGCGGGGACCTCAGAGCTGGGCTCTGACTTCAGACGGGGGAGGCAAGGGGGGGAGCTGGAGGGGTCAGCAACCTCCTCTGGGCCCTCCCCTCAGCCCTTTACCATTGCAGAGCTCACTCCTTCCAGCTGGAGAAAAGCTGTGGTCAGCCACAGGGCACTGAAGGCCAGGACAGGGCTGGACTTGCCCAGGCCTCTTCCTTCCCTGGGAGACTCCAGAGGGATCATTCCAGGCATCAGTCAAAGCTTCTCAGCCCAGGGGGATGGCTGGGAATGTGTGCCTTCCTGACCAGCTCCCTGGGAGAAACTGAGCTCCAGGCCATTGGCGCAGCTGAGGTGGACCTGCCCCAGGCTGCCCACTCTGCACCACATGTGGTCAAGCTCTCTCTCCCTCTCTCTGTCTCCGTCTCTCTCTTCTCTCTGTCTCTCAGTCTCTGTTGTCTGTCTCTGTCTCTCTGTCACACACCCCGACACACATACACACACATACCAAGAGAAACAAATTGGAGATCATTAACAGAGGTGAGCCATTAACAGGGTGGGGGCGGGAATGGGGGGCTTCAAACCAGGTTCTCCCGCCTCAGCGGCTACAGCACCACACAGTTGCTGTAGGGCCTGAAGCTCCTCCATCCCAGAGCTGTCCTTGGGGGCTCCCAGGAGACAATGGGTGCAAAGACACTGTAAAGGGGAGCTGAGGTGGGGTGGGGGCAGCATGGGCCTGGGTCTCATTCCCAGGTCTGACCCTTACTCAGTTTGTGACTACACACATGTCACAGCCTTTCTGAGCCTCCATTTCTTCACCTGAGAAATGAGGACAACCCCCCCTGCACCTCGCCACACTTAGCCACGAAAAGGGCTGATTTGAGGAATCCGTTTTGTAAGTTGGGAAGCATTCGCAGAAACGATTTGCAGCAGCATTCGCTGAGAGGGGACTTCCAATGGAGCCCGATGTTTTGGGGGAGATTGACCCCACAGGCCCTTCTGTGAAACCCTAGGGAAACACCCTGGGGGTCGGGGCTCAGGTTCTCCCATTCTACCTCAGATTCGTAGCATCGTGTGACCCCCCCGGCCTCAGTTTCCCCATTTGTCACATAGCAGGGGAGGGAGGGGCTGGCTTGTGACTTCAGAGCCGTGGTGGTCCTGGAAGGGGCCTCAAAGGCCTCCTAACCCAACATGAGGGAAGTGAAAGGGCTTGGGCCACAATCCACATGAGAACCCAGGCTCTCTGATGCCAAAGGCATCCATTTTGCCAGTAGACCTAGAAGTGGGCCTTCCTCCCCAGGAGAAACGTGGTGGACTCTGGGTGTGGAATGAGGCATGCGTCACCAGCCATGGCCAACATGGTGTGGTATTTTATTTAATCATGCTTATTTGTTACAAGGGACAGTTCTCTTTTTGGCAGGGGTCGGGGAAAGTTGTAATGAGAGTATAAATAAGACAGTTATTTTAAAAATAAAATGAAAATGCTGAATTTGGTGTCACAAGGCCCAGGCTTGAATATGAGGCCTACCACTTACTGTATCTGTGTGACCCTGGGCAAGTTGCCTCACTTCTGTGGGCTTCAGTTTTCTTATCTGTAAAATGGAAGGGCTGGGCCAGATGACCTCAAAGATCGCTTCAGGCTCGGGGTCTGAGTGTCTGGTGTTCTCCTCCCTCCCCTGGCCCAAGGCCGCAGCCTTCCAGTGACCAGCTCTCCTTTTGCCTTGCAG